AGTCTTAAGGTGTTAGGTACACTGCCTAACACACACTCGAACTATGTTACATTAATCTCTTAGTTAGATTATTTAACACATTGCGTACCAAGCCGTTTTTGCGCTGGCGAGCACGCATGGCCGCCGTGCAACGCGCATCGTGCGCCACATGGTGGCGCATGCGGCCACACGGGTCAGACATTTTTTCAAAATTCTTTTCAAAAGGTGCTTTTTCACTTTATGTTTTTATTGTCATGTTAAGTCACAAATTTATGGGTCTGTGTCATATTTTTTGCCTATTTGGCTTATCATGAACATTCCAAGTAGTTAACGAATGATTACACAACAGCGATGGAGAAGGATCCGAAAATCTACTTCGACCAACTTCTGGTGATAGATAGCGATGGCAAACAATTCAGTCCCATTACCCCACAGTCTGCTTAAGCCTGTTAATTGAAGAGCAGTGGCGATTATACAGATTACAGAATATTCGAAGACGCAAAAAACCCTTAACCGGTCTTTTCAGGGAAGTGAGTATATTACACCCATAGTTTGCCATACATTCACACCGATTTTGATACCACGGTAAGGCAAACATGAGTAGAATTTCAAATAAGGTTATTTCAACAACGTTTATTAAATGACTGCGAAAACTAACCGCCGAAAGACGCACAAGCTGGAAAAAGCGATCCAAAACCTTCACAATAATGTTTTACTGCAAATCATCTCATTCACTTGAAGGCTGCGCTTGGAAAACATTATTGCGATTCAGTTGTATTTCATCTAGATTGCGGTAATTGCTGAACTTGCTGAAAAGGATGTGTCTTAGTCAAGCAAATTAGATCAGCTATCTAGGCTCTTATTAGAATACAATGTACAAACATTAGCTAAATGCCTGGAGAAGTCCCACTCGAATATGTTGTTGTCCAGGTGCGAAAACATATATCTGCGCAAATATGGAACAAAAAAAGGCCACAGTTGTGGGAAAAAGCAATTCAGAAATCGTGCGCCACCGTGTGGCGCACGCGGCCACACAGAGCAGGAATGCCGTGCGCCGCCATGTGCGCACGTGGTACGTCAAATGTGTTTAATGATCAGCCTGTGATGTGTATTGCGGGATGATTGAGTAGAAGCGATCCTTCAGCTTCGAAAGACCGCTAAGAAACAAAATAAACAAATGCTTTTGTCTCTTCGCTAACATTCTCTTCTACTCCAGCCTCACGTCGTTGCTTATATCCAATGATTCAACTGAGGGAACCTTGCCAGGATAATTATCACCACTCATTTCAACTATCCTCTTAGTATAATAAAATCAAACATTAACGTCACTAATTTTGATAGATAAATTTTAATAGACACCCATGAGTCCGCCATTTCTAAACAAACGGAACTGAACAACTTTTCCGTGATTCCACTTGCATTTGTTTCCATTCAGAGACGCAAAGGCTCAAACACTCATTCTGTGGACAGAACCTCTCCAATGTACTTGTGTATGTAGGCGTGGCATGAGCTTGAAGACAACAATTCATTCCCAGACAGGTCAATAGGTCTGAGTTGGTAAAAAAGACTGATAATTTGATATGACCGGATCAAGTCCAATAGTGAATGGGGCTGAAGCTTTCGGTGAGAGTTCCAGCTCGGAGCAATCTCCGGATGCAAGATTCCAAGTCAATTCCTACAGTGCGCGAGAGTCCATGATAAAGGCGTTTTGACTCAATGGGCAATTAGGCTCCTTTGAGTTTGGGTTATTTCAAGTTACACTGAGACGTGACACCGGATAGATATCAGCTGATGGAGGGATTCCATAAGAAGAACCACAGGCCTTTACCCGGAGGAACCTTGGTGGCAGATCCCGGATGGTTTGGGCTGCATTGCACAGCTGTGCTTTACTCTCGTGAAGTCTCTCTCTCGGTCAAAGGCATAACGACTATGAAGACGCTTCTGCTGATAATTACTGTTGTTTCCAAGTGATTTCCGGTAGAGTTACTTCTTCATTCACGACAAGGCCACCATCCAGTGCAGCCGATTCGCTAGACAATAGTTTAGCGTTAGCAACATGATGTTATGATCTGGCCCGCAAGCAATTCGATCTCAATCCTATAGGAAACATCTGCGGAATTCTTCAAGGCGCATCTATGCTGGTAAATAGCACAAAATATGGCACAGGATCTGAAGTGTACTAGCGAGACGTCGAGGTCCTAACTATATACGCATCCACTGTAGAATGCTCACACCAGATCACCTAAGCGCTCAAGAGGTAGTGCTTTCACAGAGCATGTCCACGGAATTGCAAAACACAGTTGACAGGAAGATGTACTACTGTCGAAACTTGTCAGAGCCCTTAAACATACTTTTGAGAAAGGGCATTTTTGAATCTCACCACAAAATGATTGTAGCCGATATCGCTTCCTGAAACGAAGTGGACTACAGTTTGAGTGCACGAATTCAATAAAGGAAAAGGCAGGGCCATGACTTTTCAAACCTAATCGCAACAGCAGTCTTTAGGTATGCCTCAAGACTATTAAAACACACTGCACTATTTGGGACTGTACTATATCCCGGAAAAGTATCTCTCGAATAGGAATACGCAGTGGACATCCATCCAGACAGCATCATTTGATCACGAAAGATTTCCGAAGCCACTGATAGCGACACGACACTAACATTCGATCACAATAGTAATCACTATGCAGTCGTTAGCAATGCAGTGACCGGAAAACTTCCTGTTTCCGGTTTTCGGGTGTTTTTATTCCACTTTGCTGCTTTTTTACTCCTTACATTTATCCCGAATACTAATCATGGCTGTCGTTTCGGCTCAACCTCAGAGAACGGACGGCAACGGTCTGCCTTGACTCAGTTCGGATTCTGACGGAATCAAAAAGAAACCGCGATCAGTAAAAACAATTATTTCAGTGAAAAAGACTCCAGTCACTTCAATCATAGCAAACTCGGATGGCCGCAAACATTTCCTCCCTGGAGAGCATTTAGGAGAGAATGATGGCTAAACGCAAAGATAGTAAAACTGCCCCTTGATGAGCATATTCGGAAAGACTCGTCATCTTGGTCATGATCATATCCATCTTCTCGAGAGTTTTGTTGTGCGAAAAGGGACAGAGAAGGACGCTTTAGATGTCGCGAAATTGCCGTGAGATCACTCGAAGCTTAACCACAGATTTTGATGAAGATCACGAAGCAAATTGGATAGTGGGAATCTGAGGTATGTAGTAATTAAAGGCAAAGGTCGGGCTCAGCCGCGCAAGAGGAGTAATTCCCGTGCCCGGAGGTTGTACGTGAGTAGCTGCACCATTGCAGCAACGTCCCATCCTGAAAAAACATTCGTTACGGCCACCACCGGGGCGGCGAATTTCATCCGGGCCGCCCTCGCATACCGGGACCACCGCACCTCCGGAAGTGGGTGCGTGCAGCATAACGTGTGAATCAGCTAGGTTGATGCCGTACCAACTCGATAGAACCACTGATATCTTCAGAAACTTGTTTGTACGTGCTCTTTCCCAAGCCAGCCTCCTTCACTGCTAGTGGAAAGAGGGTTTTGTTAACGACCGTTTCTCCAGTTTTCTCCACAGCGTTTACTTCGCATCTGCCATACCCAATTCATCTCCATAATACCCCTTATTGAGCCCGACTTTTGCCTTAATATCTAGGTGGACTGGGTGTGCGTGGAAACAGCACCATGACTAGAACGCTTATAGTGAGACGTGCGAGACAACATCTCCAGAGGTTGATGAGTCTCGTCAACGCGAAGAAAGCCTTCAGACCTTCCGAAAACCACTCATTAGAATCGAAATTCGGTGAGGGATTTGTTCAGTCCAAATAACTGTTTTGTCTTGGATGAACCGCACTTTATAGCCAAAACACATGCTCATCCAGTGTTGTTCGCTGCAGGGTTTCTCCGTGAATTTAGCAATGAGCTGAGCATAGGATTTTCGACACTACTTATTATCTCTTAACCCAGGACGCCGAAGCGATTACTCTGACCTCATAGATAAAGTCTGCACGAACGCACGCGAAATCGACGTAGGGCTTTGTAAGATGCCGAAATAGTTTGAAATTATTCATTTTGTTATACTGCCCTTTTCTTCAGTTTGATAACTACAAAAACATCATGAAGCCAAAAAGACCCTCTACAGAAAGAGTGCGTCTTTCTGCACAAGTTGGAAGGAGTGCAACGGTCCGTGGAGTTCCAGTTTCTCCAACTCCAAGACCTTCACGGTTTGGATGGGAAACAAGTGCATGGCGTATTCCAACGTTCTAGAAAGTGACGAATTCTGAAGCAGTGTGTGTGGCAATATAGCATGCTCCAAGTGCAATTTTGTTTTTTTTTGCCTCCGCAGGGTTACATTAGGGGTGATGTTTCGGAAAAATAGATACATGATGTCAGATACGAAATAAAAATCGTTAGCTTACAAAAATCAAGAAAGTCACAACAAACTTTCCTGTTTCCATGGTCACAAGCTTTCGCTTACAAGTTGCAGACTACTATTCTCTCTTCACTACGGCGAGAAAGCTGATTTGTAGAAAGTTCAAAGGAAACACACCTCGACAGCTCGTAAAATGTCGTTCATTGGCAGGATGCCGAGAGGTATAAGTCTGTTTGGTGCCAGTCCGCATTGCGCCAACAAATCACCGTTGATGGAACGGTTCACTTCTTCGGTGTGCTCGGGTTTTGCCTAAAGTCACCCTTGTCATCACTGAAGTAGGAATCGTACATTGATGCCTTTAGAAATTTTGTAGTGGCTATAGCAGCGATATCTTCACTTGGTCATGTTGCAGTTATGCACTTAGACACACTTGTTCATCATAGCTCAAAATTATCAAGGGTATCAGGAAGCGCGCGAATACAGATTTTTTTGAGATCTTTTCAACATGTTTGCTTCAGTGACCTGACATGACGCAGCTTCAAAATCAGTAATGGCTGGTGGTAACCCCAAAAATCGATGTCCCTGCATTTTGAGATGCATTTGATGCTGATGTTGAGTGATGCCATACAATGTAAGTGTGTAGTCTGCTTAAGTGAATAGTGCATATACTATACCAGTTTTGCTCCGCCCGCTATCGCGCACAACACACGAAAGTCTTTAGCGAAACTGGAGGACCCATGAAATATCAGCACGAGGTCCTCCATTAACCACCTCACGTATTCGCAGTCTTGAGAAACGGGACTGTTGCTCTAAAACACACTTGGTAACAACTGAAAAAAACAAAGCGAGGGTCGCGATTCAAATCCGTGATGAAGCTGCAGTAACTTTGCAGAACCTATCTTAGTCTACGGATAAGGTATATCAATTTGGAATATCAAAAACCGCAAAAACATTCTGAACAACTTGACGGCCCGTGTGAATACTAAATATCTATAGTGGCTGTCTTTTGGCTTAACGTAAATTTATATCTAAACCATTCTCAACAATAAATATTAGAACTTTAAAAGCTTGCTTCCTCGTTCGGCAAATGTGACATTAAAAATATCGCTACCTATGAGAAACAGAAAAAGTGCTGCTGCGGGTCAGCAAGTCCGTTAAAGCGAGGTCACCGATGAGTCAGGTCTTCTAGCTAATGTTATTGAAGAGGAATGAGAAAAAAAATTCGTGGACATGATTCGAAGATTTGTACGGTGCAGATAGTGAGACAACAATAGAATTGGAGAACACTGATAATGAATGGATGAACGGAGGTCACAATGCAACAAGATTCTTTGATTAGCCTGAACCACTTATTCCTGCGTACTGCTCAGTGCACAGCACGGTACAGTAATAACAAACTAGGTCTGGCTTACCCGCAGGGTCAACCACCAGTTGCGCAAAGTCCAGGGGTGGAAAGAGATATACGCCGACGGGCAGATGAAGGTGGGACATGGAGAAATAAGAGGAGAAAGAGCACAGACTGGGGAAGAGAACGAATGTGAGGTACATCAGGAAGTTGGGAGGAAACACAAAAGGGTGGTGGGGGAGGACCCAAAAGTGACACGCGGGCACAGCCATCTGGGAAAATTTTACATGCTGTTCCCGCGTTGCATCCTTTCCACTTCTCCCTCCCTCACCTTGTCACAACTCTCCTCTCTTACTGCCCGTGTCTGTCCACCCACTCCGCACCTTTCCGCGTTCTTTCTGTTTCTGTTTCCGCCCACGACGCCCGCACTCCCGCGTGTTACATCGTCCAAGCTCTCTGCTTCCGCATCCACCTACCCTTGTTCTGCCTGACTCTGCACATGTTTCTCCACCTACCTCACCTGCATGTCTCCTAGCCGTCTACCCACAGACAGAACGAATGAGGCGGGTTTCCCCAACCCGCCTTCATCGATTCGTTGGCACCATAATTTTATTTATAGATGGAAAATTGCTGCTTCAGAAACCGTCTATCCTCTCTCACTCGTCACTTATAATCGTTCTTATTGTAACTGCATCACACTCGATATTAAACTTTACTGTACTGCTGTTTTTTCGTCAGCGTAACCGACTACAATTATGAAGGGCATAAAGTGAAGAACATAAATAACTGGCCATCTCCTCTTCAGACATATTCATACTACCCCACTCGATGGCCATTCCGGAGACAAAGTGGCGGGTTTGTGACGTGTCGGCTGGTCATAGAAACGAACACTAAACTAACAGTCCTGATGGTGAGTTGGTGGTGCGTGGTATTCGAGGCCTCCCGAGGCTAATAGCGCTGATAGGGTTGACCGAGACCCCTCCTAAGGAGGATCGTCGACTTCCTGGGATCAGATCAGCGGATCAATTTGCGTTGCGTTTTCAAAGAGGGTATCCTTTTTGAGACTTCTTTTCGATCACGGGGGGTAGTATTAGGGGTTGGTAACGGTTACGGCGGGAGAGGTGTTTGAAAAAATTGGGGGATCTGTGGGTAGACGGCAGAAATTCAAAAAAGTAAGTAGCATGAAGTGATAAATGGAAGATTTACCAGATAATTTGTTTACTCATTAATTGGGAGACTCTAAGGCTGATGGTGCCGGTGAGGGGTTGTATCGAGATTCCCTACACTAAAGGAGAAGTTGGGGCGGAAGTGGTGTAGTGGCAAGTGGCGCGCTTACCACGCGAGCGGTCCGGGGATCAAATCCTGGGTCGTGAGTCGCCCGAACCAACCAAGCCTTCCATCCCTCCGGGGTCGGTTAATTGGTACCAGACTTGTAAGGGAGAAAAAACACTGATTTGAACATCGGCTGGCCCCCGCAAGTCATTGTATAGGCCACATTGCATTCAATTGCCACTGCGAATGTACAAAAGGAAGTAGAATGCGTGCCGCATCCCAGAAAGTGATTGATCAACGGCAAATGCTTTATTCTTTTATTTATCCTTTAAAGGGAGAAGTGCCGTCAAGTTTGTGGAATTGAAGCATCGGACGGTTGACCCTAGCCACAAACCCTCAGTGCCAAAATCCTTTGCCTTTCATAACCACCTCACTCCTCTCTCGGCCTCCTTGTTTCACTCCTAGCCCCGCTTTTAACATCTAATCCCTTCTATTTCACTCTTATTTTTTCTGGACGATCTCCCTACTGCGTCCCACCCACTAACGTGACTTATTTTCCCCTGTCTTTTTCCCTCTTCTTGACCCCTTCCATGACTTTCAAGTTTTCTTAAAGCAGCAATTTTAATTTCATATTTCCTTGGACAGATTTTCAACCAACGCATCAATACGTCACATCTATTAACCAGAGAGGGAGTCCCAACTTGACACCCTCGAGTGCTACGGGGTCGCAAAAATCCTGAAATGTTCAAACGTGAGCGTTGACCTTGTGCCTCCTCCGTCCCATCCGCTTAGTCCATCAATTTTAGTGACACAAACTCCGTAAATCGCCAGAGTCACATTGTGAGAACGTCATCCTGAGTCGCATTCAGAAAACTTTCGCGTCACATACTGCCAATTAAATAGACTACATTCACACACTTTTTTTGAGTCTTTCACCGCAAGTATTTCTGAAAAACCTAATTACTTTCACCTGATTAGAATATCCATTCCCGACATTGTGAATTCAACCAAATAAAAACGAAATATAAACTCACTAAACTAGAGCAGCGAAGAATACCTACGGCGCCGCCTGCCAACATAGCCATCACATGGTATTGATGGCAAAAAAGTTGGTAATGTGTACTCTCGATGCCTCTGCGTCCTGGGCTATAATAGACAGGATTTGAATAGCAACTGCCATCAGCCGAGGCATTAACCTAATCGATGCACAGCCCGATGAGATAGCTGCACGGAATCTTTTTTTCGTTTTATTTGGCCGTGTTTGAGGTTTTGCATTTGGGTCTTACGATGATCCGTAGGAACTAAAACACACATTTCATTGAGAATATACCACACATGTTTCGTTCCCGTACCACTATCATTATTAATCAATTAGCTAAGAAATAATAAACCATTACACAATAAACTAGTTGACAACGTTTGTGGTGGCAGCAGATGCAAATAAGCGGAGCACGAATCCCATAGCTTATGCGTACTAGCCATCAGTTGCCGATAAACTCGGATTGTGTATTGGGGGCACCTCACTATATGGCAGTACTTTCCACACCCAAGCGAATCGCAAACTTCTCTTCTGACTGTCAGCCCACCCCTTATTAGTCAAATCTCTTTCAAATTGTGATTGAGAAATATCTGTCAACAGGTCGCGGATAAAGTGAGAGCCATAATTGACCACAAAAAAATAAGTCGAAGATAAATGAAACAACGTTGGGCCTCCCACAACTGTCACAATCGATCAATCAATCGGCACCCATCCTCTCCCGTCTTCGTCCCACCTCTTCCCGCCGTTGTGAGTTTCGATCATGACATTTGACCCCGCGATGCTACCCACTGAACGCTTCACCTGTGTCAAATGGAACAAAAAAGAAAAAGGCGGCGATGACCAGCTAGTAAAAGACGATTTTCATAGAAGCTGGATACCTCCCTGAAAAAAAAACCGGAAGAAGGGCTGCCCGCTGAGGGTCAGTATGGAAAAAGATTCCGGTGGTATGTGCGATCAGGTGGGTCAGTACGGCGTCAAGTCGATAAAAAGCAGCAAAACCCTCAACCGCGTTCGTCTTTATATTGATTTCTGATGTGGTCCTGGGGCAGTCCTCTGTACACAAATCAATCAGTGCGATTCGGATCCAGACCGAATAGTTCCCTTAAAAATACACGATCTCGATGATCCACATCTTGTGGAGGAGGGGGTACGTGTACAACAGCGAAATAGCAAAGTTCTAAGCTACAAGCTATACTATGTAAGGGATCTCTCTGAGAAACCGTTCACTTCCTGGATGAAACTAACTAGTTAGCACATGCAGAGACCGCCCGGCTGTGCTGAAATCTTAGCATAAATCTAACAGGAATTTGGAATTTGGTTCACGCAAGGCTAACGGCGAGCGCGTGTCACATCATTGTCGCCTTCTAGACAAACCAGTTACAAGCTCACAGTCTCTGACGAGATGGAATACGGAGCTGAATGAATATGATATTCCAGCCGCAGAGTGGGACGAGAGTAGAAACTTTTTTCGACTATATAACTTTGTAGAATTTTTCTAATATTCCTTCATCTGCTCCACATGAGCGAATAAATGATCCTCATGCGACCAATCAAGCGACTTCTAATATTAAAGACTTCTCAAGCATACACCATCATGCCTACGACTGCAATTGGATGGATGCATAATTGATAATTTACAGCAGTAAGGACACATTGCTCGAGCATGCTAGATTATTTCGAAAAAGTCTTCCACAGAAATGTGTGCTCTCCCATTTGCCTCATGAAAGTTTTCAAAAAAAAGAAAAACCACACTTCACGACGGATGAGCAGAGCCAATGCGTCTCATGGAAAGAAGGACCCACCTGGTAGCTGACGTGTGATTCACGTTGCCGAGTGCAATTACCTATGAGAATGAGCCGCTCACGAAAGTGGTCATGCTATAGCAGAAGGCGAAACGCAAACACGGTAACAAATTCTTCCCCTCATTTACGAGCCCGAACCCAAGTAACCTTCGTTTAATTACAAGTGAAAATACGAAACAAATTCAGATGTGTGCTGCGCGTTTGTTACGCCATTTCAATTACGACATGAATTACACCTCAACCACCTAGCATGTACTTCTTTCCATGAGACCCGTTGGCTCTGACCATCCGTCTGCAACGTGCGGTTTTCCAAATTTGTTTCTTTCCAAAAATATAATTTTCATGCACAAATTTTGTGGACCATCTCTAATGAGCACAATGAAGTCGTTCTTTTGATGGGCATTGTTAAATGCCGACTGAGCGATCTACATTTTATGACTTCGCCGCTTATGGATGCTCTATAGGTCAGCCACCTTCTCGGCCCCTCCTGAGCTAAAGCTGGATTCTCGAGGGGCCCCGGCCAAAATGGTGCGAGTTTTTGTCCTTTCCTGTACCGACCGAATCGCTTGTTCAGTGTGCAATGCCTCCATCGGTGCGAGTATTGTAGGAGGGGTATGCCTAACGCGTATTTAACCAGTGACCATGAAAGAGCCTGTCTCCTCGTTTTTGCAGATTTGGCTCATCTCACCATTTTAGACTTTGGCAATGATCTTCCGGACTGTGGGGCAAACGAAAAGTGTTAGTGGTCGTCGCAGAGTCCTTCCACCCTGTAGTTCAGTTCTATATGACATATTAAACGATGCCCATACTGCGCCCGGATGACATAATGGCTATGAATGTTTCCGTATTTCTCAGTTTCGTCCATTAATCCTTCTCGTGCGTGTTTTATCGCTTTTCCCTTGCGCGTTAGATTTTCTTTGCTTTGTATTTTCGCCAAATCAGCGTCGCGATACTAAAGTTGTCCACCACACACATTGAGGCCTATATTCGCTTGAGTTGTTTGAGATTGCCACTTTTGGCAGCAGTGAAAGTCATGTTAAGGAATAGATGCGTGTTCAATTCTCTCCTGGGGCAAAAGCTTTACTCGTAGCCAGAATTCTAGTGTAAGAGTCCCTGATATTTTTCGGTTTTTACTTTCTGTCACAGTCGTGAGGTAACTAAACCTTAAGGGGTGTAGATAGCGTCTTGAAGATGCGGTGTGTTCCAATTACAAATTAGACTAGGTGAACAACGAAAATTGTAGTGAAATGTTGGACGAGTGCGGAACAGGGGTGCAGCGTTTGCGGTACAAGTAGGATGGGCACGCCACATTTTTTGAACAGAAAATTTGTGTAAGTGGGACTGCTGCCCGCTACTGAACTGTCACGAGAGTACGGAAATTCGTGAGCCAGGTGGAGTGTAACCAATCTAGGGGGTGGAGGGGGTGAGGGCAGTCACGTGACATGCGTGAAAAGCTAGCCGTGCCCACCCCACTTGTATAGACGCCGCGTTTGCTGAGGAAGAATCTTAGCCTTGAAAATCTCACCCCAGTCATCGAGCAGATTATGTGCGGCATTTCAACTCATGTTCACTTTCAAACATCTGCTACTCGGGGCATACCGATATCGGTGTTGTCCAGGAATCCGCCAAGAGTTCGGCATTATTCCTCAGGTGGCGTTTATTTATTATTTGTGCAATGATGTGCGTATATGCACGCGTGCGCTACACCACTGCAGCCGCTTTAATGATTGCATGTGAGTCATTCAGTAAAAGAACGGCACATCTTCGAATAACGAGTGCAGTGGGCAGAGGAAATAGTTTAAATGTGATAGGGCTCATTGTATATGATGAGCAACCTTAGCATCACGGCCCCAATCTATGAAAACCGGCCAAACAAGTAGCAATTTCGAAAAGTCAGACAGTAAAACTCGATTCAGACCTTATGACGATTATAAAACTAACACAAATCATATCTCTCAAAAGTCGTGTCGACAAGAACTGCTTCCATGAGTTTAAAGACCACTTGAACCTGATTCTAACCTGATAGCCGGCAAGATGGTATCTGCAAATTAAGTTGTAGGAGATCTCTATTTTTGAATTTAGATATATATCAAGAGTACCCATACGTTTCTAATGGTCCCCTAGAAGAACCAGTAAGCTATCAAACAGGTGCTCACGATATAACACTCAATCCATCATAGCCTCCCTCCCGAGGTTCAGCTCTGATGAATTGCATACACCGAAAATGAAAAGCCGAATGTAGTCCAATATAAAACCGAAAAGTAAAAATGACGTCACTACCCATTGCCCCATTCAATAATTGCACATACCGCCTCCCATTAGATTGGCAGTCGTGAAACCATTTTTTAGCACCGTAAATAATAGTTCGGTGCGGGTCACAGAAAGGCCACAAACCTTGATCGGTACAAATCTCAGTCGGGATCCATAATGTATACTTCTGTAACGTGCCACAGAATGTGGGCTATTGAACATGGAAGAAATAATACAATCATCTGAGTCAATCAGCCTCTGCTCATACTAAATTAGAGGAAAGGTTCGACCACATAGATCAAAGGAAACCTTCAGTCAACAAAATAGCTACGGTTAACTAATCCATACCTCATCTGGCTCGCTCCAACACGCACTATATTTGGCATTGTGAACTCCACAACTCTAGCATCGATTCCGCTAATAAGTCACTTCGTAGAAACTGGAAGGTGAATCAAAGGAAGCCGCAAAGACTTCCGAATGCTTGGCAATATATGACGAAAACATCCAAAATCTATCACAACTGAAAAGAACCAAACAAAATAAACCGACGATGGGAACTATAACAAGAGTAAAAGGTAGTCACCTAGCTCTTCTGGACAGTTTACTAATCCAATCGACAACCAACGCTCACACACTGGCCCCTAAACCACCTTTCCGTTTTTCCTCGCATTCGATCAAATAATGGATCCAGCCCCTGGAACTCATCAGCCAGTTTAGTCCACAAGAAAAGCAAGATCGGCGGCCGCAGCAAGCAACTTAAGCAGCCTAGCAGCCTTGATGGTCCCAGGCTACAGTTTCGAACTACTGCTACCGCCCACCGCTTACCGTAAGGATAATAGAAACTCGCGGTAAAAATACGTCAATGATCCCACCACTAATTTCCGCTAAAAGCACCGGGACACCACACAACCGATAAAACGCTCACATCGGACTTCATGTGAATATAGGCCGCTTCCTTTCCCAGATATAATATAAAGGCTTTGGAATTCAATCGGTATTCCCAAGACTACGCGGCAGGAAACGGTCAAGTACGTGGTCGCAGAAGTACGACCGCCCCCTGCCGCCCGAAATCGAGACCTCCAACGACCCCTAAAACACGCTCAAATTCAAATTCAATTAATTAATAAAACAACTCCGCAAAATAATTCCAACAAAACACTGCACAAATAATTTTGGCCCTCATCTTCACCTGTCACTGTCTTCATCCTGGGGTGCACACTTTGTTATCAAAGATATCGACCGAGGAAAGAGCCTTAACTTTGTGTGCCTCAAAGTCAGGTTCGTTCAGAAATGCACAGAAATCCTGAAGGCACGGGGTTGCGATTTAATTTATTTCCTGCTTGAGTACATCGAAGCAGTCGAGTGTATAAATCAACGGCCGATTCAACGGCAGCTGCGGCGCGATTGTCATTGGGTCAGATTTGCTGAAATCCCGGAAAAAAACCGTCGAAATCTACACCCCTGATGAAATGGTTGCATTCCCCCTTTTCATAACCTTTGAAGCAAATTGAGGTAGGGTTAGATAGTGTTGGATTTCGCGTTTCCAAGAAGTATTTGGATTGCTCTGAAAGCCTTCCATGCAGAAAGATAGGGTCACTCAATCGTCGAGTAAACGTCGAGGATGCTGAAATTTTCATGCTACTTTTTGCCACTTCAAAAGCAATATCTCTCTAATGTCATAAGGTTCTGAAAAAGGGAAGACAGTTTTGGTAAGCGAAAGATTTGCGCTTTCTGATGATCTTCTTAGCTTTCTTCTACATTTCCAAGTCGAGAATATATTTGCGTCGAGTATGTAACGAGGACAGATCCGGCCACCTGAAAATCCGCTCCCTCCTTCACCATTGTAAGTGTAATTGTTGGCACGCTTGAAATGGGTCCAGAAAACATCCTCCCAACATAAGCAGTAGGAAAAGGGGCAATCGTCATCATTGAATTTTGTCTGAGTATAGGCCATGCATCCGACCTCACTCGAAGATGCAGAATCGATTCGAAGGTGTCATATGATCATGACCAGTTGATAGAAGCCGCATTGTAGTAAACGCATTTCGTAACTCTTACAACCTAGAGAACAACTTCATTTGCCCAGGGCTTTTTCTTCACGGTTTTCGTTTTTGCGACAGGGTCCCTAACGTCGTAACGACAGGCTCGACCCCCCTGTCGAGGATTCCCTCAACCGATATTCACCATGCTTACGCGTCACTGATACTACTTATTACGCAAAAGTGAACCTAGAAAGGATACAGCACTCGGCTAATCAATCCCCTACTTTGATGTGCCATGAATCCACTTCATTTAGAACTGGATCTACATATGTACATCCCCTAAACTAGGCTTGGATGTAGTGCGACCCATCCAATGAGTTAAAGGTGCCACGTCATGTTTTATCTTAACAAGCAACGTTTGTAAAAATACCGACCCCTGAACGGTTGAAGGCTTGGTTGGCCTGTACACCCATAACGACCCATTATTCAATCTGTGAAGCGTATGCGAAGTAAGCAGCGCCATTTACCACTGAACCGTTTTCGCTCAAACGCGTCGATGCCAAAGGAAAGGAAGTTTTTGCTGTTGGTAGGTCTCCAAAATGCACTAGTTTGACTTCAATGCCCGTGAGGCCATCGCACATAATGAATGACACTGAGACGAAATCCTGTATAATTAAACTAAGACCATTTGAAGGAAACGTCTCCACCCTTTTGACCAAGCGAATCCTATAAAGCTGAAAATTTCTCATACCCTACCTTGCAACTTGACTTCTAATAGAACTATTCACAACCGAGTCCAAGTGAACCGAATACGGGTGGGTAAACAATGGTACGAGCCAAATTCTCGCACCCTATGTGCGAAGTGACCTCATTAAGGCTGACGGCTCAGGGGTCACACACCACCCAGATTTCTCTAATAATCAGGTAAAACGCAACTAAGTTTGAGAAGACTATCTTCATTAATATAGTTAAATACTAGTTTACAAATAAAATAAAAAAAAACAAAATGAAAATTACATCAATTCACTAAACATAATATCAAGGCCTACTATTATCTAGTCTTACCATTCCTTCTTACGACTACCGTTAAATGGCCATCAATAACCTATATCAGGATGCTCCATAAATAGTGAGAGAAATCGCTGACACTTATACAGGGTGTGTCTCAAGTGGTTAATGGAAAATTTTAGCACTAATTTACGCTGCGTCGGACTAGGTGCCGTAAGCTGAACTTATATTTTTGGCACTAAATTAGTGCTGCTGGGAGGTACAGAGATGCGACTCGGCGTCCACGGAGAGCGGTCAAGATGATCGGAGTCGCGCTAAATTGGCGGTACAGCGACTATACCGAGCAGGCGCCGCGTCGAACGCAGCGGCAAAGTGCATGGGCGCAATTCTTGGTATGGGTGATGTGTTGACGGATCTGTCGTTGATAAATATGAAACTTGCTGGATAGGAGGTGAGAACTGATAAAGACCAAAAGTTCCAGACATAAGTAGAGCAACAAGAGTCACATTAAAGAATCTCAGAATTTTATAGCACTCAGCTATGCATAGCTTACTCAGATGTGAATGGTTGTCTTTCAACATATGAGATCTTTTATCAATCAACTGACTGTAATTGTTAGTCACATGAGAGATAATTCTGACTAAATCGAAGCAAAAAAATATTCCTTCAAGCGAGTGGAACGGTGAAGGAGGCATTAAATTCCGATGTCAGATAAATTGTATAATAAAGGAAAAGATTCTGATAATTAAGGTCGGTGATTCATATAATGTGTTTCACACGACTGAAAACTTTTCATCTAATTCAACATCCCCCAATCTCGACACTGACTTCTAAACCACAAGCGAGTTGCGCATCGCGGGCTCGGCGGCCGGTTGCGGGACTCGTAACGGGTATCGCACGATTGAATAGTCGGCCCGGCGCACTATCTTGGACGAGAAGCGCGATCAATTCATAACGGTGGCAAAAGATGGCGAATGCGATTTTGGAAAGGAAAAAGAGGTACACATGAAATGTGATTATGTCATTCATAATTACTTACTTTTCAATCTTCTGACTTTACTGTGAGCAAATACAATAAAATTTGATGTCCATGAATTTAATAATCTACTATTAGATACTATGCTGCTTACTATTATCATTGTTGTTACTATTCAGTCAAGTTAGTTCGTCATTTATTGCATCATAACGGACATGTCGGCGCGCCTCGCCCACGATAGGTGGGCTTAGTCGAAAGAGACTAATTAGGTAGGCCAAATTTGAGGTCACTTCATCACTCGTCAGCGACGCAGCAACTAATTAGGGCTGGAATATTTCCAATCGTACCACTTGAGACACACAACTTTATAAGCAGGAGGGGGCAAACAAAAACAAGACATTTTTGTCTTCACTTCAGATGGTCTTGAATACCAACAGCTTTGCTACAATTCATAATGAATGGTTTCTGCTAATATTGAAGAGTGAATGTTCACTTAATAAAAAAACGGTGAGACTCACCAGGTCGGGGGGGGGGGGCACTTTCATTTTTTCTCACATACTCAGATTAAGGATTAGTGGGCTCACAATCACGTATCGACTGCAATTTAAAGTGGACTTTTGATAATACTTGGTGTAAAGGGTGAGAAACGCTGAACGTTTCACACTTTGCGCCTGCCCAGACCCCAAGGAACGTCCACTGGGCCAGCGAAAAGGAACTTCACAAAGGGCTAAGGGTGCACAGGAGCTGCACGGTGGATCACGTGTTGCAGGAAAAGTGCGGCATGGCAATGGTGGGCAGTAGTGTGGAAATGTAGGACTAGACGGT